ATGAAAATGGCGAAAATCAAGGATCTTACTTTCCCACCACAAGTAGAGCATGAAAAGGAAAATAGTATTTCACCCATACTAGCCAAGATGATGATCATAAAACAAGGATCCACCCGATTTGTTTACAATCGAAATAAAAGAACAAGGGCAAGTGACGACTTCAAGGAGATGATAAAGAACTTACATGATAATGTGTCATATAGCAGTTCCTTATTGTCACAATCTTCCCACTAGTAGCAACAATATCATGATGATAGTTGGTCATTTTTCTCAAAATTTGATATTTCAAAAGGCTCGCAGTTCTAGTATAGGGGTGATATCTGTAGTTCTGCTCTACAACTGGCGCAATTGTATTTGTGGCAATCATTCTTCCCTCAATAGTCTACTACAACAATTACAATGTGATTGATGACAATCAGAACATAACTATAACTATTACTACCTCCGTCAATAACACTGTATCATCATAAGAAGTCATTGATACATTTTCATGCATTGGTTCTTCAAAATTAAAATATTGATCTACAACCAAGTAATTTGAGGACCTAGAACCACTCCCATTGAAACATAGATCCTTTCTGGTGGCAGTAGGTCAATCACAATGTATGACATTGAATTCATGAATATATGCCTACATAGGTTTTTTGTCATATATGGTATGCAATAGATTATAAAAATATATTTTACTTGACTTATTGATGCAAAATTTAGAAAAAATATTTTTTAATCAAAAATTGGCTAAGAAATGATTCGATTAAAATCAAGCAACACAACTCATACCTGTCAATATTGATCAACATTGACACATGGGATGGGTGCATACCACCCGATTGAGGACCAACATTGACATAGGATGAGATTTTAATCCTTAATTTAAGTGAATTTATTTAAGGGTTACCCTTCATACCTTTGCAATATGGGATTGAAAACCAACTCTCTTAATATAAATGTAAGGCTGCATAGATTGACCCTATCCACATAATATATTGACAGGAGCCTCAAGCTCTAGGTTCACCCTTTGCGAATTTACCATGATTTAACCTTAAATACAATGCCAAGTTTCATCAACAAACATACTAGGAGTTACGTGCAAATATTTAGGTGTTTTACTTTGAAAGTTGAAACACAATTCTATCATTGTAAAATTGATGTTAATTCTGTCATAATTTATAATCAAGCAGTTTCATTAGAAGTTTAAGTGATAGATACAAACATTAGAACTAAAGAATTTAGATCAAGTAGGAGTGTAGGACTACAGTCAAATACATGAAATATAACTTTAGTAATGTCCAAAGCAGATTTGAGAGTATGGTTATGTTAGAGAAACAAAAAATTAAGTTATATTCTTTTTCTATTATTCGATAGGAAGAAGAGATCAATGAAGACTCATTCACAAAGTTAAAGAAGGATGATTATAGTGAAAAAGGATATCAAGAGTTATATGTTCATCGTGTGACTCTTGGTTCAAACAATTTAAACAAAATGTGCAGTAAACAAATTAATAAAAAGGTGTAACACTAGTCATACATTATGGTATAAAATATCAAGCTATGAAAAGTTGGTGTTACTAAAATAAGGATGTTGAGATGCGAGCGTGGGGTTATCAGACAAGATTGTATAAGAAATGTTTACAAAGCCAACAATGACGTGTCACTCAAACAAAAGATGATGGGATGCCATTAAGATGGTATGATCATGTCCAAAGGAGACCTCAATACCCTAGTTGGAGAGGTAACAATTAAAATTAAAGATGTTAGAAAAGTGGATGAAGACTTAACAAAATTTTATTAAAACAATAACAAGATACTTGAGTACTCTAAATTTAACTGAAGGCATTGCCCCAATCAAAGCACAATGGTGCGTAAAGAACAATTTAGATAATCCCAAATAGTCGGGACAGATGATTTTTTGTTTTTATGTAGTTGTCAAAAGCTCATTCTATGATTCAACTATAGATGAAGTGACAGAAACCAATAGCGAAGCGATTTGATCCTCTCAGATATAATCAAACAATGAAAAACTCGCACATGGTAAGCCTCAGATGCTAACGAAGAAAAGATGATTAGTTCTAACATTCTTTGTAAGTGCCTTATGATTGGTACTCCACAGCCATGAGAATAATAGTGGTCAATTGTTTTAATTCACCATAAAAAATTGTTATGTTCCTTAATAAGAATAATAGTGGATGGGATTCACCATCTCATCCTTTTTTTGCTACCATCCAGATTTTTACCTTCTCTTCTTGACTAGATCCAACATAAACCTATCTGTTGACAAGATGTGTAGCATGACACACAGTAATACCACACATGATTATAAATCATCAATCTTAAGCATGTAACATTAAGATGAAGGAAGAATATCTAACAGATCATTTTTTAACATGATTTGTGTTAACATGATATTGTAAAAACTGGATGGTTACAGTGGAAAGGGGACTTCAAGAGTTCAATGTGATCTCCGGGTGTTCTTTAGATTAAGAAAATTTTATAAGACAATGTTTGTTTTAAAATGTTTATGCCAAGAGATAAGAAGAGAATGTTCTGTGAAAGGGGAATTAGAAGCAACCTCTCACCCTAACAGGACATCCCAAAGCTGTCTCTCACCATTTGCATTGGACCAGTCCATAAAATGAACCCGATGAGCACATAGAACTTTTAAAATCCTTTTTGACAGATGTTTATGTCTATAAAATAAGAATGTTTCATATACACAGATTAAAAAAAAATTGAAACAAGATACAAAATGTTTATGTAGATAAGATGAGAATGTTGATGGGTGTATAAAGCTACTAGAAAAGATAGAATAAGTTTCACTTGTGAACAATATAGTGTAACTCTGGAAAAGGATAACATGAGAAGCGAATCATTTAAAATAGTATGGATCATGGTATGTAATTTCGAATGGTACCGCCCGGTATGGGCGGTACATACCAGTCCGACGGTATACCGGTACGCGGACCACCTGCTACCGGACGGACCGTGCTACAGTACTACAGTGTACACTGTAGTAGTGCTACAGTATAATACTGTAGCAATGCTATAGTGCTACAGTAAGAGAAAGAAATATTTAAAATCACTCGGTAAGCCTTGGTGTACTGCTCGGTACGCCCTGGTATACCGCTCGATACGCCGATACCGTATCATACCGAACCAACCTCGAAACATTGGTATGGTACGGTATTGCATACCTTAGTATGGATCATGATTCTTAATTCAGCTTGGATCAATACATACCATCAAACAGTATTTACTTTAGGGAATCAGCTATGACGAAAACCAGGGCTTTTCTCCTTGTCCAATCTGATCTTTTTGAGGAAGTCAGCCAGGGTTTTAGCTCTCATCAGACATATACAAGCTCTCCTCATGACTCGCATGGCCACCTGCCACACAACACTGCTAGACCTCCCAGTACTACTACTGCTCTTTCTCCTCCTCTTCCTCTCTCCTCCTCCACCTCTTCTTTTCCTTCTCCTCCTTCTAATCTCTTGGTTACCATGCCACATTTCAGCATATCGTGTAATAGTACACCAGTATAGATCAAATTCGTACTGGCCCGGCCATAGACTAGTACATGTTTAGTACTTGAGAATTAGAACCATGGTATGGATATTTTCTAAAAAGACTTGTAAATGTTGCAGTTAGAAAAGATGAGACATTTCATAATAGTAGTGTATAGAGTGGTAGCGGAAAACCTAAGAAGACTATAGTATAAATTATAAATAAAGACTTAAATACTAATTATTTAACTAAATATATTGCTTTGTATAGAGTTCAATTGTGAAAAAAAAATTCATGTAGCCAACTCCAAATAATTAAAACATTATGGCTAGTTATTGATATTGTTGTATGATTTGTTTTAATACAAATCCAACAAAATCTTCCTCAACATGGGCTTTGTCATATCAATTCCAAATTACCCAACGTCTCCAGCTTGCACAAGATTCTGAAAAAACCCACTAAAAGAAATCTTGAACTAAAGTCAATAGGAAAATACTGCATTGACCCAGCGAAGTACCACCACATAAAGAAAATGGCATTAACTTATTAAGAGCTCAAAAAACATCAGTTAATATGAAAAAGTAACAAGGGCATTATTGAAATCAAGGTCTGATCTTAAAATCACATCTACTTCAGACCATATTACATCAGAAGGAAAATCATCATTAGATTTCTGCATATTAAACCAGGCTACCAGCCCTTTATGTGGAACTACCACATTAATTTATCACAAGAAACAAGAGGCAACTAAAAATTATTCTGCAATCAATAGGAAGCACTTGCACCAAACAAATAAGAGAGAAACAATTGATGCAGTTGGTAATCCAAAACCCAACTGAACAGATAACAAAAGGAACTATTGAAAATATAGTAATTGCTAATCAAGGTTAATAAAGGCTACAGGTATGGCTATGCTGAAACTACCAGACAAAAGGCTCAAGTGATGATGACAAATCATATAATCCTAGGAGGACAGGTGATACGCTAACGAGTTGAGTAAACATTTTATATCAACCAGAAAGTTACCAATAGACCTAATCGATATGTTTATGGATAAATCAGGCCAGTCCAAGTTTATGGATACCTAGTGTGACAAAGTGATGCCTAAGGATTATGCATCTCTGCTTGATGCATGATGTCCAGTAGGAAACAAACCATATACAACCAACAAAAGGACATCAGTGCTTCTATTCACTAATACTAGCACAAAAATCAAGCGACAATGCCTGATGCTTTCATGTTAACCTAGTTTTGGTGCCTGCCAAACTTTAACAATGCAATCAACATCAACAGTTTTCAGGAAAATGAGTAAATGGATCTATGCTATCAATAGAATAAATGTATTAGATTTCATATTCTTTTGTCTATAAGACATTTTAACCTCGAAAACATTTGGATGTAAATGTGTAGAACTAGAGAAATATTAGTCTAGAGAAGACACAAAGCTCGTTACAAGTTCATAGATGTTATGGGAACCAATTTACAGAATAGAAGCCATACCTTTCGAAGCACCCGATGAAGACTCCATGCAGATTCCACTTCCTCGATGTTTCCCACCGGTCGTTCAGATTCCTTGTCGGCGGTATCTGTAAAGAAATCCTTCTTCTTCCAAGCCTCCTGCTCTCCTTCCACTGCCAGACCCATCTCCAGCTCCCCATTTTTGTCTGTCGTGCCGTGAACCCCCAGATCCATCCAGAAGACGAATCCAACGAAAAAGATATAGAAGAGGATGAAGCCGACCGCCTGCCAGAGGAAGATCTCGGCGCTAAGGTAGACGTAGAAGAGGGCGGAGGCCGCGACGAGGTAGAAAAAGACGTCACGCACGAAGGGACCTGGATCGAGGGGGAAAGGGCCGGCGAGTATAGCCACGGCGCCGACGACGAAGGCGGAGACGAAGGCGCCGGCTGAGAGGATGGCAGCGAGGCCGGTGCGTGGGTGGCCACCGCGGAGGGCAGCAACGGAGGCGAAGAGGTCGGGGGAGCCGTTGCCGAGGGCGAGGAGGGTAACGGCGGCCATGCTGGGGGAGAGGCGGAGGTGGGCGACGAGGCGGGTGACGACGGGGGTAAAGTGGTCGCGGGCGGCGGAGACGAGGAAGTAGAAGTGGAGGAGGAGGAGGAGGGCGAGGGCAGGGAGGGATAGGAGGGGGCGACCGGTGAAAAGGCAGAAGTGGATTGCGGCGTAGTTGACGAGCCCGCCCCCGCCGCCGCTGCGGCCGCATCGAGAGAGGGCGAAGGCGCAGTGCCGGTCAGGGGGCAATTCGAGCACCGAAGAACAAGACGAAGAAGAAGCGGATGGCAATGGGTATTGGAGTAGAAAGCGAGAAGAGGAGGAGCGGGAGTTGGAGTCGGAGTCGGAGTCGGAGTCGGAGAGGAATGGAGAGAGGCTGGGAGGGAAGAGGAGAAGCGAGAGGGAATAGGAGAGTAGAAGGATGGAGATGCCTATTAACTTGAAGGGGGAAGGGGAAGGGGAAGCGGACAAGGACGAGGGCGCCATCTGATTCATCGATGAACATAGCAATGACCTCCTCATGGCACGGTTACGGTGGGGAGAAGACACTCACTGGCGGAGGGCGGGGAGATGGGAAAGGCAGTGGGTCGGTGGGTTGGCAGGCGGGCAATCACTGGCCTCCAAGAGACGGGCGACGCGACAGCATGTTTCCACTCGAGGACCCACACGGAAAAGCACCGGGTTGGCTCTCCTAGGCTCGGCAGAGGCAGGGAACTTTGACGCCACGGGATTCAATCGTGACGAACGTCCGAGCCGGAAAGACCGGTTCATCCCGAAGACCCGACGGTTCGCGGTTGGAGAAACGGACCGGTCGCATTCTGCCGGGTTTGGGTTTGGGTTTGGGTTTGGGTTTGGGTTTGGGTTTGGATAAAACACGCAACGCAACGATAAGCTCCGTTACGCGTTCCCGAAATCCAGGGCCGATTTCACCTGTCCCGGTTGTGACAGGGAACACTCACGATAAGACTGTATTGGTTACGTAGGCCCCCCTTTCTCTTCTCCCAAGGCCTCCTTTCTGGCGCCGAGGTCGAGAGACCAAAAATGACGATTGCCTTCGACCATCCAATACGTGGTCAAAGCAAGTTTTTTCAGTTGACCCCAGCGATATTCCACAACGGTTATAATCAGTTTAATTATTATGTTTTAGATATTTTTCTTTGTTTTGTGCATCTACTAATTTGTCTCCTTGGAAGATCAATAAAATTCTATTCCTCCATATCAACTATTTTGCGCCAAAAATTTTTTTGGAAGAAAAGAATGTAAAATAAACATTTTACATTTTAAATAATTTTGAGAAAAACATGCTACAAAAATAATGTTGAAGAACAAAAGTTTCCAAAAATATTTACTTGATTATTCCGATAAACCACCAATTCTACTATATCCTTTTTATTTTATATGATTCTTAGATAAACTAGCCTTCCATACTTCTTTAAAAGAGTGTCATACACACAATTGTTTGTAGATTATATTTAAAGAAATCTTATAAACAATTATTTAGAAATGTTAATTCAAAAAATGTTCTTTGTTTACCAAGAAAAAATAATTGAGAAACATGTGTTTTCCGTCCTTACTTTTTATTTTTGTGATTCCTGACTCAAAAAAATGTTGATAAAAAATTGAAAACATATTCAATATTTTATGTTTCTTTTCCTTTTCATTCCAAAGTTACGGCTTTATAGTGCAATCCAACTCTTTAAAGAAAAAAAAAAGTGTTTTTATTATGGATGCTATTATATTTTTGCCTTTTTCATCCCAATATTTTGGGCCATCTAGTTTGTTCCCTAAACTACAATGTGTGGTCCAAATCTTGAAATCCATAAAAAAAAATCCTATAAAAATCACTTTTTAATAATTATTTGTTCTAGATGAACTCCATAATAGATTTATCAAGGCTTTCCAATCAAACGGTGGTCACACTAATGTTTGTTACATCCTCAATAAAGAAAAATTAAAACAATAAATAGAATCGTTGGATTCTTCTATATCTCCTAAAATCATTTCTTATTCAGGAATTTTGGTATTATTTATGATAGCTTTTGATGATTCGATGTCCTTAAAACCTGATAGATTCAATAACATAGTCTAAGTTAATCTGAGCTGATTACACTTGGTCTTACAAGTGCCAGTGGGAAGTTTTCAACTTTTCCATTTGCCTCTTTATCCAAAATTAATTAATCTGACACACACAAATTAATTTGGGGCCTCAGATAAAAGAGACGGTACTATTGTGGGTTTATAGATCTTAGTTGTTTCTCAAATAAACCAAACCTATAAGAAATATAAGACAAGGGGGAGTTAACCCAATTTTTGGCGAGTGGACTGCTCCTCCAATCTCTCGTCTTGTTCTTAATCTGCAACATATTGGGAGACTTTTTAACTCATTACGGTTGATATTTTGTTTTTACTTTTGCAAAACAAACAGAAACAAAAGATGTAACGACACTCAACGAGGAGAGTTTTATGTATAAGCCCCCGGCTGTACTCCGATGCATAAGTTTTATTAAATCGTTCTTTATTTCACGGTATTTACAGTATTTTAAATATTATTTTTAAAATAAATTTATATTAACTAAACCGTAAAAATACAACAAGTGCTTCGTAAATCCAGAGTACATAAAATTGTCCAAGTAAGATTATCACTCCACTCCCAAAAAGAAAAAAATCTCTTTATGATCATTTTTTTTATTTCCTTCTCTACAATACATACATGAGATACAAGAAAAAAATTAAAATCCCTTAAAATATGTTAGATATCTTCAGTTAAGTTTTCTATAAGACACGTATAAGATCCACACAAATATCTTTGAGTTCGACTCGATATGAATCATCTTAATTTTTAACAGCAACCACCTCAAATTATAGAATACTCTCCATTTTAATATAACTATATTAGGACTCTAAAGACACTAAAAGTGGGAGGAAGGAAATTAGTGCTTTCAAAAAATTATGATTTGAAAACTTTCATTCGATGAAACCCGTATTAAAAATACATTTAACTTAAAACATGTGTAAGAATAGTGAGCAAGTAAATCAGTTTATATTATGAATGAAAAGCATAAATAAAATACAAATCGATTTATAGTGGTTTGATCATCTCGACCTATGTCAACTCCCGATTCTTTTTACTACCGATCTTCTTTTTAACGAGCGAAGATCAACTACTATTGTTACAACCATTTCTCCTTTTTACAGGCTCGGGAGAGAACATTTGCACATTTCTTTTACAATTAGACTTTACTCATCCCTTAGAAGACTTCTAATACTACGGAGGAAGAGACTCAACAACTCAATAGAGTTTACATACTTTTTTTTTTTAAGAATTCTTTCCCCTTTTTTCTCTCTTTTCTTACTATATCAAGCAAGAATGAGTGGAGTATTTATAAGCCTCAAATAGCTTAAAAAATAAAGCTAAAAAATTAAATCGTTAGGTTTTCGAGGTATTGGCGATACCACCACCTATCACCCTATGCATCGATGGTACCATCGCCTGACACTAGGCGATACTACGATTGACCTTAGTCATTGTTGGGTTTTTCGAAAAAGTATATTTCATACTTTCCAACTCACAAGCGGCTCCACTACTTAGCCTAGTGGTGCCACCGCCTTGATTCATGTCACTAAATTGGCCATCCAATAGGCCTCATTCAGCCTTGATTTAGGTTCAATGGGCCCATAATCAAGTTGGCATGGTTACACCTAAAACCAACTCAATTAAAACCTAAACTACTTCGATCAAGACATAAGCGATTACAAACATGAATCTTATATTGTTTGGCATGTCATTGGTTCATCCAACGCTTCGTCCGAATCTTCAGCGCATCGTCCTCTCTTTCGACGTATTGCCCACTCCATCGGTATGTTGACCTCCCGCAATATCTAATTTTCTCAGCGCAATGTCCGATCCTTTTGGCCCGATATCCTAACTCATGGCACGAAGTCTATCTTCTAGTATGTTGACCAATCCTTCGGCCCGATGTCCAATCTATGACATAATCCATTTCGCCCCAATGTCTAATTATCTTGCTTCAATCAATTTTACTTTCCATGATCGAAGTTAGTTCTACAAACACCTATTAAATCATAACTTCATCAATTGATTTCATCATCAAAATCCGAGATTCAATCATCTTCCCCTTTTTATGATGACAACTAATTGTTGAGGGGGTTTTAACTAAACTCTCCGTGTCTATATACTATTTCTGAAATATGGCAAACTCGAATTCAAAAAGAGTGATAACCTTTTAACACTAGTCTTTTAAATCTAAGTCGAAACAATTTTAATCATAAATCATAATGATCATATGCAATACATCATATCAAAATAATCATTATGCATATTGCATATAAATATTTCAAATCATCAAGGTACATCATAACATGCATAATTCTAAAATATTAAACTATCAAATCATAACTGCTCCTCCTTTATCATTAACAAAAAGAAGAAAAGTATAAGTGTTTTACTTCTCTTCGAAGTATGCAAGCTAACAAGTTTTTGTTTCTCTTTGAAATGTGCATGCTAGCAAGTTTTTTAATTCTTGTTTAGATATGCAAGTTATCAATTTTTGCTTCTCTTGATATTGTAAGTTTAGTAATTTTTTCTCTCCCTTTTTGTCATTGTCAAAAAGAAAAAAAAAATACAATGGTGCAAAATTTATATCAATGTTCCAATTATGAAAGATATTAATAACAAAGACAAATTTAAATGAAGATAGATCAATTTGATAATGGGTATATATATCATAAACATAAAGGAGTCATATGAAATAAATAAATCTTAAATTAAGAATATCAAAAAATAAAGAGAAAATTTATGATTTATTCGGATAAATCTCCTCTATAGTAAATAACAAAAAGAATCATAGGAGATCATATAATAAATATGCTGGTCATAAGTGCTCTACAAGCCAATCACATGAGTGATGACACGTGTGACATGATACATATTCTTTCTTCTTATTATATTATTTAATATTTTATCATTTTTATATTATCTATTGTATGAATATATTATGATGTCCATGGATCTGTGCAATGAGAGTCGAATCGTGATGAGATCATGATAATGAGACCAATTCACCTTTAAACATAGACCCTAAATAATCCTATTCAAAGGTTATTCGAAAGGGGCATTGAGATAACCGGACAGATTAGTGTGTTGTATACCCCTTCATATGATGGAAGGAACTGGTCTCATAACTGCTCTTGTGGGGATACAAGGGCTACAGTGTAGGTGCTCATTGGAGAATGAGTTCATTGATTAATTTGCTCACGGGATGTTGGATGGTTAATGATACCTCATTGTCATACAGCGATTCCATTGTCAGACACCAAGGATGTATTGTATGAGTACTCCATTCTTTGATACGAAACTTATAGGCCTGGAAGTTTCAGATCTAGCACAATCAGTCATCGGGAGTGGCAGCCAACCTTACAAGGACTATTGAGTGTTGATAGAGGATCACCCACTCTCGATGTCATGAGAGAAATATCTCATATGTTCTTGCTCAGACGAATCCCTAGCCAAGGTCATTCGAATTAAGAGAGAAAGAGTTTTTTGGGAGAATTCAATTAGAGTGAGACTCGAGTAGAAATCGTATGGGTCTGACAGCACTATGTCTGATATACAATCTCTGGG